AGAAAAACTTTATTATTAAAGTTTTTCTTCAATACCCATTCAAGCCGTCTCCAACCATTATTAGTCTCAAAGTGGGTTCCTCATCATCAAATATTGTAACATCATTAGCATAAAATGTAGTATTTCAGCTGTTTGCCACTGAGGTCTCCCAGAAAACTAGCAATTCAAATTCTTATTGGAATATAGTTTATACAGCCTACAATGTATAAGTGACATCATAGTCATGTGTTAGGGAAACTTGTTACTTATTTTGACATATTGACATGATGAGAGGTGTTTATTAAGCTGTATATAATGAAGCTCTGCTCAGCTTTTGATTGCTAAAGTCATATAATAAGAAGTTTTATATTTCCCTTATAACTTATGAAACAAAAATATGCTTCGTTCATGGCTAGTATCAATTAAATGTAATGATTTTACTTCGGATATTAACTTTCTTTTGTTATCAAACTTTTAAAAACTAAAGAATTTCTTCTCAGTTACCAAAGAGAAGCTGAAGCTTTTAGAAGCAACTGCTCTTTACGAATTATGTAGTATCACATAACAGTTTGAGAAAGGGTTTGCTTGTAAAATTGGTTAATAAAAGCCATTAACATGCCACTTGTTCCAAAGTATTATCCCACAAAGTTTGGTTGAGATGGCCCAGTGACATTGGAGTAGTTAGATAACACAGACAGACAAAAACACAGATTTTTAGTGCTTTATATCTATATATGAATAAATATATATATATATATATATGTATAGTTAATCAACTGTGTCAAGAATTTTCCACATGGGCATGATTTAAAACTTCGTAATAGCTCAACCCAATACTAGCATATGCCATATTCCCCTATCATTTGATCACAAAAAATCTCACCTTTTGTAACGAATGAACCATATTTTGGCAATGAAGTTTGAAAAAAAACCTTTACTCAAGGTAATTAAAAAAAATTCAATCAATGTTCTTCCATTGCATCTTCATCAGGGCTAGTAGTACAAGAAATGAAGCCACAGTGGCAAAATGTTGGCTGAAACAGTTTTATTATTATTATTTGAAGAGCAAAGATTATTTTTCTAACTGTATTGCTGGAATGTCTAAATCCCAGAAGTGTACACTACAAATTCTAAAAATAAACCTTATTTAAGAAGTTTACAGACAGTTGACTTAATGATAAAAAGTGATGATAAATTCGAATTGTTTTTCAATCAAGTTAACATGAATAATGAGGTCCATGAGGGGGGTATTTTTTAGGACCCTAGTTGGTTCTTAGACTCTTATTTCTAAACACAATGATCTTAGTGACTGGACTAGAATGTGGTTAAGTTTCAATATCCAGAAGTATAAAGTTCAGTCCTTAAAATTAGTGATGGCATGTGGCATCTCACGATGACAAAAAAAGCATCATAAGAAAAAAAGCTTGACATATTTTTTTCCTTTAGTGAATAATGTCAAAGATTAAGATTTTATACAAAAATAAAACTGATAACTATGTAGAATATTTAATGATGTCAGTCATGACGTAGTTTAATAGATTGCTGTAACAAACCAAGGTGAACATCAAACGTGTTCAAGGCAAAGTTGTAGTATATATAGATTTGAAAGCTTGGACCTATCTATCCAGATATTTTTGAGTAACCCTAAAAGTACTGTCTTATTTTACGGATAACTATTTAATCTTGCCATGATAATCCAATTTTAATAGCAAATAAGATTAATTCGATGACGAGGAACCCACTTTGAGACTAATAATGGCTGGAGTCGGCTTAAATGGGTAATGATGATTAAATGGCTGATGATGACAAAACCTTGTCGAAACGTTGTACATTTGCTGTCATGTTAAACTTATATTAAAGTTTTTCTTCATTACCCATTTAAGCCGTCTCCAGCCATTATAAATAAGATTAATGTTTCAAATATTAAGCATTTTGTTTACTTAAATTTTTTTATTACATTTCTTTAGGTATGATAGCTTAATATTGTCAAATGTTAAATTTCAAAAGTTTTACTGATATATATTTTATTAGTTACTGGCATTGATAGCTGCAATAATACTGTCACAAATAACAAGGGAAACTCAAACTTCCTTTCTGTAAATGTCATGGCAGATGGTGACAGTGATAAAGTGGTGATTTAATTTACTACTTTAAATGGACAGTAGTGTGACATATTTTCTGCTTGCTTTTTTACAAAGTAGTAAGTTCAGAATGAAGAATATTGATGTTTCAAAACAAAGATATTTTGCTATAATGATGCAGTAAATTTAAGGGCTTTTAAGGGAAAGCTCGATAAATATTTGAATAAGAACTGGCTTTGAGTGTTTTTTAAGTTTAGAGGATTAGACAGTTTATACGCCAACAGGCCACTTGTCCTAAAATGTTATGTAATTTGCTAACATTAAACGGAGCAAGATTCATTTTGATTTTGGCTTGATTTAGAAATTTAAGAGTGTTAAAATGGGGTGTGACAAAGTTCTTGCCTAAGAGGTGACTTCAGAGTGGTTGTTGAACACCCATAAACCTGTACTGAGTGTGTAGGTTTGAATGAAAGAAAACAAATTTAGTTCGGGATTCAATTTATAGAAATCCTGAATTTAAGAGTGAGAGGGTTATAATAATCTTGAATAAGACTAGTGAATCTTTTACTTGGAGTGCATTATGTAGTTTGGGTTTTCATACTTAAGATATCAATGTGTGTAGGGGGTGGGCTCCTAGAATGATGCTTGAGTTAAATAAGAGCTGGAGTGTTTTTTTGTAGTATCTTGATTCACGTCTTAAAAATTGTTAAGAGACTTAGTTGTGTCCTAAGTGGTTGAATGATAGGGTTGGAAATTCAAATTTGAGTACTGGTGGTGAAGCATTGCAGTTTCAGGTGGAGAGTCACTCTTCACCAAAGTTATATATAATTTATGGCTATAAACTTGGAGAATAGTTTGTCTTAACGTGTTGAGAAAATAATATTCAGACTGGCATGAATAACTTGTATTAGTGACTGATTTTAAACTGTTTATTTGATTATTTTTTATGTCTAATATCAGTCTTAGTGTTTTATTGTGTAAAAAAATCATATTTAAGTAAATATTAGCACCTTCACTATCTGATGATTAATAAAATATTTATCACTAACCTGGTGTATGTTTAATATCTACATCAGAAATATTACAGTATTTTTAATGTTTTAACTTTCTGACAGAACCACTGCTTTAAATCTCTTCTTCTGTTTAGTTTAGTGTCATGGCTGAAAACGATACTGAACTCCTGGACTACGAAGAGGAGGAAGAACAGGAACAACCAACCAATGATACGGTAGTAGAAACAAAGAAACCAACTGGTGGCTATGTATCCATTCACAGCTCTGGGTTCAGAGATTTTTTATTGAAACCTGAACTCTTAAGAGCTATTGTTGATTGTGGATTTGAACATCCTTCAGAAGGTGAACTCTTGATTTTTTTTGTAGATGATATATGTGCCTAGTTGTAATGGATAATTTAAAATTTAATATCCAGATATGAATAAACATTGAGAAATTCACTTTTTTGCCCACACGACAATTTGTTTTGCTTTAGTTCTAGACCCAAGTTTTAAAATTACATCTGAATCGTTATTTTAAGATACCTTAGCAGGGAAAAATTATTAGACAGAAACCTGCTACAACTGTAGGTGGCCATCTGGGCAACTAAAGTATAACAAAGAAACACCCACTGATGTTGTCTAAATGTCAACATTTCATCCTTCAAATTTGTTTAACAGTAACCAATTACCAGTGATTATGTGCAAAGCACAAGAAGTTTCAAAATATCACTTTATGATCAGTTTCCTCCTTTAATAAGTGCTATTTTCTAATATGGTATTTTAACTTCTTGTAATACATTAGAAAATCATGGAATTTTCAAGTTTTATAGTTAAAAGTTTTGGATTGTTTTCTTTGATAGATAGAATTAGTTTATTTTTCTGCTTTTAGTTCAACATGAGTGTATCCCACAAGCAATATTAGGAATGGATATTTTATGTCAAGCCAAATCTGGTATGGGAAAGACTGCTGTTTTCGTGCTGGCCACGCTTCAACAGTTAGATCCTGTTGACAGTCAGGTAAAATAACAATGGCTTTTACAAAAGATATGGTTAAGTTTATTGCATCGACCAACCTCAATCTAAAAATCCTAGTTAAAAGTTTTCTATTAAATTTAGATTCCCAGAGACCAAACATTTAGCTTGCTTATGTAGAAAGTCATTTGGTTGGGTTATCATGATTATATTGAAACAAATTACAAACAGAGCAATTTGGTGACTACATTTACGTACGATAGGAATGAGTTCAGTGAAGATCATGTAACTATGACTCTCTTAAGGTACCAAATGCCTCGTCATCTTATTAGTGACGCGCATGAATGGAATAACGAGATTCCCACTGTACCTATCTACTATCTAGCGAAACCACAGCCAAGGGAACGGGCTTGGAAAAAATCATGAATTAAATTAAGCATATTTTTCTGAACACTATATATATATATATATATATATATATATTTATTTATTCAAGGCATTTCATTGTATGACAAATGCTTGTAATATTTTATCAATTTTTTATTGGCTATGATGTCATTATTACGTGTGCCTTAAGTATAGTAGATAAGCAATTTAACTTATAAATCCCTGCAACTATGTTATTCGTATATCTTGAAAACTATATGTGATATAAAGAAACCAAATACAGTTTTTTTTTTATACCTGACAAAGTTTAGCTGTTTTTTAGAACTGCAGAAGAGTATCTTTGAAAACTTCTGTATAACCAAATCACCTTGCATGCATATTGAATAAATACTTTAAACTTCTGCAACAGTTCAGTTGAACTTAATTAACGTCTCAGTCAAAGAATAAGAAAAATGCAAGTTTTGTGTTTCATGCTGTGTCCTTACTATGCTTCCCTACAACCAGCTACAGAATTTGTATCATTTGTAGCCATATAGCCAAATTTTACACTCGTATGAAATATTTACCAAATTTTATATTTTCAGCCGTTAGAGAACAAAAGTTGGTCTCTTAGGTCAGTTGTTCGTGCAGATCGCATAAATTATTTATTACTCATTCCTCATACTTTAAACACTATATTAAATTTATAGCTCTAGTTTTTAGGTATTTGTAGTTATATTTTTTAGTAACTAAAGTGGAATCAGTATTATCTCATAGACATTTTGGTTTAAGAATCTTATCCAGGATACAAACAGTTAATTGATTTGAAGGTGTTTTTAAGCAGCAGTTTTCTTTAATAACATGTATTAAATATTGGTGTACACGGTAAAAATCGTGTTAAGCTTTGCAATTTTACCAGTGCAATGACTAAAGCTTGAGGAATGATGACTCGTGTTTCAAAAATTTCAGGCATCATTGTATTCAAAGGTGTTTTTCCCCATTACTGTTATTAATCTCTAAAAAGACTATGCCAATAAATGTGTCTGTGTCACTTGTAGATATTTTTTTTATGTAGTGTTATGTTTTTCAAATTATGTTTTCCAGGTGTCTGTTCTTGTAATGTGTCACACCAGAGAACTGGCTTTCCAGATTTCTAAAGAATACGAGCGGTTTTCTAAGTACATGCCTACCATCAAAGTAGGGGTTTTCTTTGGAGGAATGAACATTGCCAATGACGAGAAGGTCCTGAAGACTAACTGTCCCCACATAGTTGTTGGAACTCCTGGCCGCATTTTAGCCCTGGTGCGTAACAAAAAACTGAACCTGAGACAAGTGAAGCATTTCATCTTGGATGAATGTGATAAGATGCTGGAACAATTGGGTAAGATATTTTTGTTGATTATTTACTGTAAGTTTGAGAAAGACACTTTATTTCCATCAGTGTAACGGGTTATAACTTTCACCACTCCTCAGTGATGGACACGTTTGACATTTTTGGAATTTCAAGCAGGGATGCCATACTCCAAAGGTCATAACAATAGGGAAAAAATATTGGGTGTCCAGGGGGTTAACAATCCCCTGGTTTGGGTTAAGAGGTCAAAGGTGATTTAATCCATTTAATATTATAGAGTTAATGTTGTAAATACACATTTTTCTGTAGTAAATAAGCCTTGTAATTTATGACTTTTAAAGCTAGATAAAAAAACAAAATTATGATGCAACAAAGGTATTGAGGTGCGACAACATCTTGTTGTGCCACTGCTACTGTTTCATTTATCCGCTATTACATATTGTCATCTTATTTGTGTTATATTTCATATCTAATTAAGAAGTAAGGTTATAATAGTTCTTGGTGAGTTTTTTTATCATCAGAAAACCTCCGTATTAATGTGTATAAAGCAAAAACATTAAAAGTTATTATATAATTCTTAGTTCACCGAGATTGCAAAATGTTAATGTCCCTATTTTGCTAAAGAAAAATTTCTAAAGAACCATTTAAGAAGAACGAGTACCTGCTCGTTTGATAAAATCTTCTTTATAAGGTATATTGAAAACTAAAAGTAGGATAATTTGACATAGAACTGAACTGGAAGTTGTTACAAGTCTGTAATAGTTGTAGACAAACAGCCGAGTAGCAAAGTTTTCACGTGTGATTCCATTAGTGCTAGTTTTATTTGTCGTTTTGTAATTCATGCATATATTGTAATAATCTAGGCCTTTTGTGCGTATAATATATATATACCAATCGAAACATTTGTAAGGATCTGAATTTTAGTTTAATCCTTTTGAAGTATTTTTATAGTTTAGAAATACTTAATGCAAGCCCCCCCAGTGGCACAGCGGTATGTCTGTGGACTTACAACGCTAGAAACTGGGTTTTGATACCCGTGGAGAGTAGAGCACAGATAGCTTTGTGCTTAACTTCAAACAAACAAAACTTGATGCAAACATAATCTAGAAATGGTACTCATGTTTTAAGGCCCATTTTACCACCTTTTTATTTTACTTTTCACAAAGATTAAGTGATACAGAACTAGGTTGAATATGTGTGTGTGTTGCGAAAATACTGTAAAACATTGTAATGTCATATAATGGTC